GCGGCCTGGGGGTGGGACGCCTCGTGGGTGGCAGTGGAAATTGGGGCGTGGAATGTGGAGTTGTGGCCGCGGTCGTGCATGGGACACGGTGTCCCGTGGAGTTTGGGCGTGCGTGGGTGGAGAAGCGACTGCTTGTGTGTGCAGAATGAACAGCTTTGGGTTCGCAAGGTGCGGTGTGGGTGCGTGTGAAGATGCGTGCTCTGCGGGCTGGTGGTGTAAGCGATGAGTGTGCCCGCCGGGTCGGGCAGGGTGAAGTGGGCGCAGTGCTAGGTGCCAACTGGGGAAACAGCTGCAGGTGAACGGGTGCTACCTGAGGGGCCTGGTGCGAGGGGCTGCCCAGATGTAGGGGAGGTACGTAGCTCGGTGGGCCCCAGATGTGTGTGTTTCCTGCCATCTCAGAGATTGTCTTCTTCGCGATGGGGAAGAATCCCCACAGCCTGCCCAGAGGAAGGGCTCCCCGGCTCCCTGGTCCTACTTCTCTGCCTTGGGAAACCCTCCCTTGCCTCACTCCCAGGTCAGGAAAACAGGCTTAGGGCAGATGGGGTGTGGGGAGGTAAGCGCTGAGCCAGCTTTAGGGGAACTAGAGAGGGCCCGCAGAATCCCACCGGAGAGGTGGGTACTCTCTCCCAAAGCAAGCCCTCTGGCTGAAACGTCGCTCTTGTGCCTGACCTCCTTGTCTGGCTATCGGGCCGCCTTTCTCTTTAGCCGCCGGCTCTGAGAAGGGCAGTAATTCGGGTGTCCTGATCTTCCTTTTTCTCTTGCCCAAAACTCCGGCCGCTCCCTCTGCAGGCCCTGCCCTGGGGTGAAGCGCTTTCGCAGCAAACTCTTCCCAGATCCTCCGGGAGGATCTCGGGGGACACAGCCGAGCGGGAGGGGCGAGGAGGGGGCGGGAAGGCAAGCTCAATTCTCAGCTGTCAGCAAAGGCAGCATTGATCTGCTGAGCGCCAGTGGGGGAGGGCGGGAGGCAGGGCTGTGGGCGAGTTGGGAGGGGGCTATAGGGACCTCGGGGTCCCCAAGCTGGGCTTGGCAGCCGACCGCACCCCAACCCCTTAGTAACCTTTTCCCTCAGCCCGGCTGGGGTACCTTCTGGAGTCTGACCTGAAAAGCTCCTGCAGCTCCTGGCTCCAGGTGTGCCCAGGGCCAGAGCCTGGTGCCCCTGGGCAGGTTATCCACAGATCTCCTGGCAGCTGGGGAAGGTTTCTAGACCCCTGATGCAGTGGATGCACTAAGGATGATGACCTACCCTAGCTGGTTGGGTCATCCTCTTCCGTAAACTGAAACCAGCACTCCCTACACGCACACACCCTCCAATGTGGCACTGCATCCCCTGACCTGAGTAGCTGCCTGTCTGGGCATCCTCCGTCCAGAATCCAGGGGGTGAGACTGGATCTGGATGTGAATGGTGCCAAGGAAAGCAGCTGCCAGACACCTGGGGTCTTTTGAGGCTCTTCTTTGGCAGAAATGGAACTCGAATTCAGGTTGCCCTTATCAGCACCCAGAATATCTAAAATTGGGTCTGTCCTGGGAAATCTGATCCTCTAGCTCAGCATCACCTCTGAACCCCATGCCTTTGTTCCTGTCTGGGGGACTTCAAAGGTCCCTTCTCTGCCTCATGTGGAGCCCTCCCTGTGAGGATATGGTCCCTTATCATCTTTCCCAGTTTCAGCTCCAAATCACTTCTTCAAAGACAACAGGAGGAAAAAGAATGTAGTTGCAGCCAGAAGGATGGAAGTCAGAGCTCAGGAAGCACTTCCTGTTTTTCCCACAGGTGCATGTCTTGGGGAGGAATGCATCCACTACTATTAAAAATGGAGAGCCTCAGAGCTCTTCCCAAGGGGTGAGAGGGATGGGAAGGCAGCTATAGGAGACACCATAGTGAGTGTGTGTGTGTGTGTGTGTGTGTGCGCGCGCGCGTGCGCACACACACACGGGAAAATGGAGGAGTCAGAGGAGAAAGTCCAGTTCAGAAAGGACAGGTGGCCACTCTGTCACCCCGTAGCCTTCCTGCCCCATCCGGATTCCCAGGACATGACTAGGAGGATGGACTTTCCCCACGGCAGCCTTTAGTGACTAAGACACTTTTCTGAGCAAACCAGCTGTCCTGGGCTTGCTCAGCTGACCCCTCTGCTGGAGGGAGGTGGGCTTTGTGGTGGTTTCCCACCCTCTTCTTCCCTCTCTTCCACCTGTTCCTCAGCCCCATCCTCAGCAGCTTCCCTCCCACCCCCCAGCCTCATGCTCCTCCATGGTCACACTGCCAAAACATCCCTGCTCTGCCCAGACTCACCCACCCTCCCACCTGCGCTGCCCCTCCCCTGTGCTGCACCCAGGGTCTCCCCAGCTGTACCAGAAGGGGGCAGACTCCATGGCCTGCTGTGATCCATCACTGTCCCTGTCACCCATCAATGGAGCCAGTATTGATTGGGACGAAGGGTGGGGAGGGAGAGTGCTTCCATTTGCTGGGCACGAACCGTGTGCCAGGTTGTGTCCCGTACGGAACAAAGAGCAGTTCTCTCTGAGGAGTTAAGGCTCAGAGAAGTACAGGAACCTACCTAAGGCTACACAGCCATTTGGTGACCCCAGGACCTCCTGTGACCTGTGCTGTCCCTCTGACTGGCAACTGCCTCCTGGACCATGGGTGGTAAGGTCAGTGCTGGCTGAGGGAACTGTCTGTGGCCAATCTTTGTTCTCCAGGACTCACTTCTGCCAGGGATGAGACTCCCAGGTCTGAAAGGATAAAAGTTCAGTAATGACTGGGACCTCAGCCCTTGAGGTCGTTATTGACTTCTGTTGAGACCTCAGATCACTGAAGGGCTTGGGTTCTTCTGGAATGGGAGGAGGGGGTGAATAAAGTCAGCAGTTTTCAGACTTCATCAGCAATGGAATCCTTTTCACAGACAGAAGCATAAAGTAGCTCACAAATGTAGAAAATAGTTCTGGATGAGGTGCTGTGGCTAGGGGGTGGTCAGGTTCCACCCACTTGTCTTCTCCCTCTTTGCACCCCAAAAATCCCCAAGTTTCATTATAGCTAGAGAAAGGAGGGCGATGTCTCTGCAGGTAATGACAGAGGGTGCCTTTTGGGGACAAGGGTGGGGAGGTCTCAGGGAAGTGTGGAGAAGCACAACTCACAATGTCTGCGGCTTCCATCCACGAGGCTGAGCTAAATGCTAAGCCTCCTGCATGATGCCAGACCTGCCTTGTCTCGCCACAGCCCAAGAACCCTGGGAAACAACCCTGGTCCTACCCCCATTTTGTTTTTGTGTTTTTCAGTACTGGAGATTGAACTGAGGGTCTCACACATGCTAGGCAAGTACTCGACATTGAGCCACATCCTCAATCTTTTTAAATTTTGAGACAGGGTCTTCCTGAGTTGCCCAGGCTAGCTTTGAACTTCCAATCTTCCTGGCTTAGCCTCCTGAATAGCTGGGATACAGATGTGCACTGTAAAGTACTCAGCCCGACTTTACAGTCAAGAAGACTGAGCCTCAGTAAAGAGATTTGCCTAATGGAGTTCTTGACCCTTGTTGCAGTGCATGCAGGTAGGGTACTGGGACAGCGGGATAGTCTAGAGCCTGGGGGAGGATGAGAAAGTATGGCCAGGGGGATGCAGGAGGCCTTGAATGCCGGGCTGAGGGCACTTTGGCTGGACAGGAAATAGGACGCCTGGCCAGGGCCTGAGCCTGGGACACTGCAGAAGCTGAGGCTCCCCAGAAGAGAGTGCAGGAGGGGTGGGCTGGAGGGCCTCTGCACAAAGGCAGATTGGCAGTGCTGAGGAAGAAAGCTCTGAACCACAACACAGGTCATACCTGGGCTTCCAATTCTGCCTGTATGTAGCACTTCCCTGCTTTCTGACTGTTGGGAGGGCTGGATTCAAGTCACAGAGTACATAGGGATTAGGTACAGATTATGTACAAACTTGAGCCATCCATCTTACCGATTCAGGGTAGGATCAGTGGAGAAGGTGCTCGTGGCTGATGGCAGCACACTGTTGCCTCTGGAGCCCACCTCCACTGAAAGCGGGAGGTAGAAGAGACATTAAAGCCTTCTTCTTGTCCCCTTTGCAGCTCAGAGAGGACAGGAGACTTAGGTTGCCCGGTGGATGAGAGGGGCTGGAGGAACCCAGGGAGTTTCTCCTTCCTGAGATCTGAGTAGCCACTGACCTGCCCCCTGGCCA